GGGGTGTCCTTGGGGTGTCCTTGGGGTGTCCTTGGGGGGCTCCTTGGTGGCTCCTTGGGGGGGTCCTTGGGGAGCTCCTTGGGGGGTCCTTGGGGGCTCCTTGAAGGTCCTTGTGGGGTCCTAAGAATGAAATGTCGAGCTTAGGGCGCACAGTGCTTAAAAATAAAAAATTGTCAGGACCAGGGCACGCAAGGCCTGGATTTTTCACTTAAGTAAATGTCAAGCTTAGGGTCCGGCTCCCCCTAATAAAGGAAAGAAGTTTTTGCGCATTATCATTTCGATTTCGTGCAAAAATCATTCGTGGGCTTTGGCTTGGGCGCCAACCTGTGTTGGCGGACCCTAAACCCTAAACCCTAAACCCTAAATTTTTAGGCCTTGCGGCACTTGTGCGCCAACACAGGTTGAAGCCTAATCGGTGCTTTCAACAAGCGCCTTTATTGATAAAACTAATTGTATTTCACCGCCCTGCGCAGCTGAACGTACCAGCGTGCTTCCATTGCGTGTTGTGAGAAAAGACTGCGTCCTCTTGAGGCACCGTTACGCTGTTACGCTGTGGGCTGTGTGAACAACAAAGCAACATTCAAAACTAAACCCTAAATTTTAAGCCCTCCAACCCCCAATTTGTCAGTGATACCATCCATTTCTGAAGATACAATTTCATTTTCAATAGAGAGGGGCTTGGCACCCCAACTGGAAACCCCAAACCCTGTAAGTTATATGAACAACAGAGCAACATCCAAAACTAAACCCTAGGGTTAAAGGATTTTAGGGTTAAATGATTTAGGGTTAAAGGATTTTAGGGTTAAGGAATTTAGGGTTAACGCATTTTAGGGTTAAAGGGTTTAGGGTTAAAGCATTTTAGGATTAAAATATTTTAGGATTAAAAGAATTTAAGGTTAAAGGAATTTAGGGTAAAGGATCCGCTCCTCACGACCCTGAAAAGCACCAACGGTCCCAAAGAATTCCAAGGACCCCAAGGACCAAGGTCGCGTGTGAGCGGTCCTTGGGTCCTTGGGGTCCTTTTGGGGCCCTTTTCGGGTCCTTTTGGGGTCCTTTGGTGTTCTTGGAGGGTCCTTGGGGGGTCCTTGGGGGGTCCTTGGGGGGTCCTTCGGGGGTCCTTGGGCGCGGTACTTGGGGCGGTCCTTGGGTCCTTGGGGGGTTTCATTGGGGGTGCTTGAGGGGTCTTAGGGGGGTCCTAGGGGG